AATCATGAAAAAAATCCTGAAAAGAATCCTGAAAAAAATCCTGAAAAAAATCATGAAAATAATCCTGAAAAAAATCATGAAAAAAATCATGAAAAAAATCCTGATAAAAATCCTGAAAAAAATCGTGAAAAAAATCGTGAAAAAAATCATGAAAAAAATCCTGAAAAGAATCCTGAAAAAAATCATGAAAAAAATCATGAAAAAAATCCTGATAAAAATCCTGAAAAAAATCATGAAAAAAATCCTGATAAAAATCCTGAAAAAAATCATGAAAAAAATCCTGAAAAAAATCCTGGAAAAAATCCTGATAATAATCCTAAAAAAAATCCTAAAAAAAATCCTGAAAAAAATCATGAAAAAAATCCTGAAAAAAATCATGAAAAAAATCCTGAAAAAAATCCTGATAAAAATCCTGAAAAAAATCGTGAAAAAAATCATGAAAAAAATCCTGAAAAAAATCCTAAAAAAAATCATAAAAAAAACCTGAAAAAATCCTGGAAAAAATCCTGATAATAATCCTAAAAAAAATCCTAAAAAAAATCCTGAAAAAAATCATGAAAAAAATCCTGAAAAAAATCATGAAAAAAATCCTGAAAAAAATCATGAAAAAAATCCTGAAAAAAATCATGAAAAAAATCCTGAAAAAAATCCTGATAAAAATCCTGAAAAAAATCGTGAAAAAAATCATGAAAAAAATCCTGAAAAGAATCCTGAAAAAAATCCTGAAAAAAATCCTGATAAAAATCCTGAAAAAAATCGTGAAAAAAATCATGAAAAAAATCCTGAAAAGAATCCTGAAAAAAATCCTGAAAAAAATCATGAAAAAAATCCTGATAATAATCCTGAAAAAAATCCTGAAAAAAATCATGAAAAAAATCATGAAAAAAATCCTGAAAAAAATCATGAAAAAAATCCTGATAAAAATCCTGAAAAAAATCGTGAAAAAAATCATGAAAAAAATCCTGATAAAAATCCTGAAAAAAATCATGAATAAATCCTGATAAAAATCCTGAAAAAAATCGTGAAAAAAATCATGAAAAAAATCGTGAAAAAAATCCTGATAAAAATCCTGAAAAAAATCGTGAAAAAAATCCTGATAAAAATCCTGAAAAAAATCATGAAAAAAATCCTGATAAAAATCCTGAAAAAAATCGTGAAAAAAATCGTGAAAAAAATCATGAAAAAAATCCTGAAAAGAATCCTGAAAAAAATCCTGAAAAAAATCATGAAAAAAATCATGAAAAAAATCATGAAAAAAATCCTGATAAAAATCCTGAAAAAAATCATGAAAAAAATCGTGAAAAAAATCCTGATAAAAATCCTGAAAAAAATCATGAATAAATCCTGATAAAAATCCTGAAAAAATCATGAAAAATATCATGAAAAAAATCCTGAAAAGAATCCTGATAATAATCCTGAAAAAAATCCTGAAAAAAATCATGAAAAAAATCATGAAAAAAATCCTGAAAAAAATCCTGAAAAAAATCATGAAAAAAATCCTGATAAAAATCCTGAAAAAAATCATGAAAAAAATCATGAAAAAAATCATGAAAAAATCCTGAAAAAAATCTTAAAAAAACTCGTGAAAAAAATCCTGATAATAATCCTGAAAAAAATCCTGAAAAAAATCATGAAAAAAATCATGAAAAAAATCATGAAAAAAATCATGAAAAAAATCATGAAAAAAATCCTGAAAGTAATCCTGAAAAAAATCATGAAAAAAATCCTGATAAAAATCCTGAAAATAATCATGAAAAAAATCATGAAAAAAATCATGAAAAAAATCATGAAAAAAATCCTGATAAAAATCCTGAAAAAAATCGTGAAAAAAATCATGAAAAAAATCCTGATAAAAATCCTGAAAAAAATCATGAATAAATCCTGATAAAAATCCTGAAAAAAATCGTGAAAAAAATCATGAAAAAAATCGTGAAAAAAATCCTGATAATAATCCTGAAAAAAATCCTGAAAAAAATCATGAAAAAAATCATGAAAAAAATCCTGAAAAAAATCCTGAAAAAAATCATGAAAAAAATCCTGATAAAAATCCTGAAAAAAATCATGAAAAAAATCATGAAAAAAATCATGAAAAAATCCTGAAAAAAATCTTAAAAAAACTCGTGAAAAAAATCCTGATAATAATCCTGAAAAAAATCCTGAAAAAAATCATGAAAAAAATCATGAAAAAAATCATGAAAAAAATCATGAAAAAAATCATGAAAAAAATCCTGAAAGTAATCCTGAAAAAAATCATGAAAAAAATCCTGATAAAAATCCTGAAAATAATCATGAAAAAAATCATGAAAAAAATCATGAAAAAAATCATGATAAAAATCCTGAAAAAAATCCTGATAAAAATCATGAAAAATATCATGAAAAAAATCCTGAAAAGAATCCTGAAAAAAATCCTGAAGAAAATCATGAAAATAATCCTGAAAATAATCATGAAAAAAATCATGAAAAAAATCCTGAAAAAAATCCTGAAAAAAATCATGAAAAAAATCCTGATAAAAATCCTGATAAAAATCATGAAAAAAATCATGAAAAAAATGCTGATAAAAATTTTGACGTGAATTCTTTTATTCCATTTTTTACATTAATTCGTATTTTATTTCATGAATTTAAGTGAATTTATTTATTTGTCCACACTCATCTTTATTTATTTTCCAATACATCCTGTTTTATTTATTTTTTATTACGTCTTTAGCATTCTCTACATTCTTTTTTTATTTATTTTTTATTACTTTCTTTTTATTTATTTTTTTTAACTTTATTTCTTATTTATATTTTTTCTCTAGCTTACTTTATTCTTCACATTTCATTACTTTCTTTGTTACTTAATTTTCTTCGATTCAGATAAAAATGAGGAATATAAAATAAAAACAATTGAAAATTTCTGATTACGATCTATTTTTGTCAACGATTTGAAAAGTGCTTTAGTAGCATATTTCAATAAAATAAAAAATAAGAAAATTCCCAAGCTTGCACGAGGAGTTTCTTCAGTTGTAAGAAACCAATTGACTTATAAAAAGAAAAGAAAGAAAAGAGCCAAAGGGCAATACCGATTTGGAGATAAAGCAAAAGTAATTTTAAATTGAATTATAAATTTAAAATTTCATTCTCTATATTCTTTTACATTGTTCAGTGTACAGTTGAAAGATACAAAAATGATATTTCATTTTGTTTCTATATTTCAATTTTTTTTTAATTTTTCCTTTTTTTATTTTTGCTTTTCGAATGGTTAAAATAACTCAAGATGCACTACGAGGTACTTTTATCGATAATGAAAAGAAAGAGATTGAAAGATGGTAGGATGGAAAATCGAAAAATGCTGAGAGAGAAAGAGAGGAGAAAGAAAAACGAAAAGTTGACAAACTGAGAATTTTCAATTTCTGCTTTTAAGAATGAAAGCGAATTCCAAGCCTACGTATTATTTGTTACACTTTCTCAATTTTTCCGTGTCAATAATTTAACGTTGGGCTTTTTTTTCTTAAAATATTTTGTCATTAAAGAATTACTCAAAAAATTACACTTATAAAAGAATTACGTCAGAATAAAAAATCATCTTTCTACTTTTAAAAATAATTAGAATTATAAGAAGAAAATTAGAAAACAATAAAAGAAATTGCTTTCCAGCATACAATGAATGTTACTGTTCTAGAAAAAAAACGAAAATATTTAAGACTTTAGATTAGATACAATCTTGTCTGATTATAATCGACTTTTACTACTTGATAAACCATAAATTCTAGATTCTAGTATTAATACGATTGAAGTTCTGTTTGTCGGACTAAAATTGTTTTTACTGTAAAATTTTTATTGTTTATAAAAATAATTAAATGTTTGTGTAATTGGGATTTTGACGAGAATTTTTTTTAAATTTTGAACATAATTGATTTTTCTTTTCTTTTAAATAAATGAATTTCTGCAATTATTTGTAATTTCTCCAAAATTGAATGTTTTTAGTGTTTTCGACAAAAATTTTGATTAAAAATTTTTTAATTCTATTATTTTTAAAATTGCTAATTTTATTGTAAAAAGTAAGTAAGAATTTAGCGGCGCGCTTTGGCGTGCGATCTGTTGCTAGTAATAATAATAATAATATTAATAATAATAAAATAATTAATATTAATAGATAATAATTAATAATTATTATTAAATGTAAGCACATGATCTACAATATATATAATAAAAATCATGTAATATTATAAATGAGAAAATAAATTAAATAACTAGAAACAACTTTAATTACATTGAAAAAAAAAATTAAAATAAATAATTCGTTACAATAAAATTTAGTGTAATAATAATTAAAAGTTTATTTAAATTACAAGCGATTATTTTTTCTCGAGGCTTATCTCTGGAATTTAGTTTTAAAACTTTATTAATCACTTAATTGATTGCCTCTCGAGAGCATTTAATCCTTTCCCGACTTGTTGACGTGTTCTAAAACTATCCCTGAAAATACAGAGGAATTATTTGAGTTTTCCAAAATCAATTCTCGCACATTGATTTAAGAGTTGCTGTTTATTTTTTAAAATAAATACCTATATTTTAATATTATTTATTTTCTTATTTCTCTATATATAAATAGTCTAACAAAAAATATAATTATTATTAATAGTAGCACTATGAAGAATTTTTTTTTAAACAAGGGAAAATGAATATATTCTTAAAAATGACAGCAATTGAATATTAATTATTATATTTACTGTGAACTAATATTAATATTTATTATTTAAAATTTTGTTTCTCTGTTTATTCGTTTATTTACGTTTATTTAAACAAAAACCATTTATTGACTTGTAATTTTTATATTTATTAATAAATATTATAATAATGATGAATAATAAAATAGATAATAAAAAAAAAAATAACTAATAATAATTAATCGAAATAATCTTCATATTATAAAATCTAATATATTTCTAATTGAACAATTAATTTAGGATAAAAAAAACGTTATTATTTATTTCGAATTGGACTTTGTTTTGTTTCAGGAAATTGCTGCATGCTACAATAAAGGCCAATCGGACAGGTCATTTTATGTGGATTGGTAGTGATTCCTGGGGAGCTAAAGCACATCCTGTCAAAGAACAAGAATTCGCCGCAGAGGGAGCAATCACAATCTTACCTTTTAAAAATTCTCTCGAAGGTAAAACATTTTTTTTTTTTGTTTCGTCGTATTTTTAACAATAATTCAAATGAATTTTTATTTATTTTTCTTTGTATTTAATATTTCACTTTATTAATATTGTCATTATTGCCCTGATTTGTTAATAAATTAATTTATGTTTTATTTATTTCTTAAACAACAAAGAGCCTTTAAGTACAAAAAAATCTATAATTTTTTGAAGTTATTTTTAATAAACTAATATTTTTTTATTGTGCAAAAGAAGATAAGAAAAATTTTGTCAATCACGTTAAATATTGTATATAAACTTGTCTATTAGTTCGATTGAATTGACATCAGAAACTCATTACAAAGTTTCATCGTTAATGAATGAAAATTGAATCCATTTGAGCGAAATTAAATTCATTTTGTGTGTTTACGGGATTTTCGTTTCATTTCTATATTCTATTGGAAAAAAATTTCTTCTTCTTATTCATTATTTCCTTTTACTTACTAATAATTTTTTTTGTTTTATTTACCTTCTTTCTTTTGTTATTTGTTACTGGAATGTTTTATTCATTTCGAATTTTATTTTATTTTTCTTTACTTTCCTTATTTTTTTATTTTCTGTTATTTTTCATTTCATTTCATTATTTATTTTATTTTATATTTTTTGTTGTTTTTATTTTATATTTTATTTTATTTTATTTTTTCTACTTTTTATTTATTTTGATATACAAATGGATGATATTATTTTCATTTTACATTCATTTATAATTAATATATATTTTTTATTTTCTCATATCAATATTTTCTATGCGTTTCTTGATGAAAAACAATTTTTTTTTATAATTTACTTTATGAATAATATAATTTTATAGAATATTGATGTTCATTTTCTAATGGAACACGAGTATTTAATATTATATTTGCTTTATTAATTTATAATTTAAGTTTCTTGTTGAATTTTACACTGCTATTTATTTTTGAAAATTTTCTTTCTCTATTTACATTTAAAGGCCGAACCAAGTATATTCTTTATTAGCTTTTCAAAACTTTTTGAAATTCGCAAACAACGTTATTTACTTTCAGTGTCTGCAATAATCCCTTTTTTTCAACTCTTCCGAGAATAATAATCTATAATTATGTACATACGTGAAATAAATTTAAGTAAACTCGTGTAGAAAATAAAATTTGCTTCTCGACAGATAATAATAATATCGATAATATAGTAATAATACTAAATATAATAATAATGGAGTTTCTTTAATAATTTTAATTGAAATTTTTGAAAGCAATTGAATTTTATGAAGCAGAATTTTATTAAAAGTGAATTGAAAATAATTGAATTATTGCAAAGAATTTTACTATTTATAAAAATAATTGAAATGTTTTCAAGAATTTATTAAAATTTTAAGAAATAATTAAATTGTTATGAAAATTGTTATTGTTTCAAAAATAATAGAATTTCTAAGTATTTTATTAAAATTAAGTACCCATATTCAAAATAATTGAATTCATCAGAAGAATTTTATTATTTTTTGAAAATAATTGAATTCTTTCAATTTATTTGACGAATATATTTAAAAATTGCATTGAAAGTAATTTAATTTTAAATATAATTTTTTAAAAATATTTTGAGAAAAATTGAATTATTTTTAGAGAATTTTAAATTCTTGTTGAAATTAAATTTTATGGAAATTTTTGAAAATAATTAAATTCTCTCATGTAATTTTATTTAAATTTGATTAAAAATAATATAATTCCTGAAAAGAATTTTTTTATTTATATAAATAGTTGAATTGTTTTTCAATGAATTTATTAAAATTTTAGGAAATAATTGAAATTTATGGAAATAATTAAAAATATTTGAATTCATCCGAGGAATTCAATTTTTTTCAAAACAATTTTAATTGAAATAATTTTACTATTTATAAAATTAATTGAATTCTTGCCAAGAATTTTACTATCTATAAAAATAATTGAATTTTTTCGAAGGATTTATTAAAATTTTAGAAAAAAATTGAATTTTTTCAAATTGTGTTACAATTTTTTTTAAAAAATTGAATTCTTCCGAGGAATTCAATTAAAATTGTTTTGAAAATCATGGAATTTTTGTAAAGATTTTACTATTTAAAAAAATAAGTAAATTGTTTAGAAGGTTTTATTAAAATTTTAGAAAATAATTGAATTCTTTCGTGAAATTTTATTAATATTTTTAAAAATATGAACAGTAATAATTAATTTTGTACTTAAGTGAATTTTTTAAATTTTGATTATGAAATTATTAAAAAAATTTATATTTGAAAATAAATAATTTTGTAATTTGCATAACAATAATAAATTGAATATCACGTCCCGCGCAGAAAAAGTGAATGAATAAAAGAACATTCAAATTATTATAGTTAATTTTTCAATTAAAAATTATTTCCAAAAAAGAAAATAATTATTCAAAGGAGAATTAAAATATTGAAAATTGTATTTATTTTCAACGTTTTTTCAATTCTAAGTCCAAGATTTAACGTCCATTGCTTTGCCCCAGTTACTCTCTGTTAACTATTTTCTCCCCCCAGAGCGATATCTAACCAAACTGTCGTCCTTAGCGTAATTGAAAGTTTCACTTTGAGGTAAAGAGTGTAATTTCTTCCTTATCAGATTAAAAGCGTTAATCATTTCAAGATGATGGGAAATTTCGAATCCTTCTTAGACGCGCATTCAAAATATAGTGCTTTATTTTTTCCTTACAAATGAAAAAAAAAATTCCCACACAATTTTTTCTTTATAATTCTTAGTCAACTTTACAATTAAATAAAAATTAAAATTAGAAAAAAAATTGTTTAATTATAAAAACTTTTTTATAGAACAGAAAATATAATTTAAATCAAAATGAAAAATACACTACTTTTTTGAGAATAATGAAAAAATTTCGAACACAAAGAATTTTCATTAAAATGATACTTCAAATTTATTTGATTACTGAGAATTAATTGGAAACAAATGAAAAATAGTTTCGAATAATCAAGAGAACAATTCAAAATCGTATAATTGGAATTAAATTCGAAATTCTTACGTTAAATGAAGTATTGATGTTTATTTGAAAAACATTATTTCGAAAATGGAAAAAGAAATTATTTCACTGAAATAATAGAAAACTGTTTTTTTCAGTTTTTTAAAGATGTTTCTTATAAAAGTTTTTTCGCATAATAAATCCAGACACTGGCAGTTATTTTAGACATAGCTATCGGGATTATATTAAAAAATGTATTCACTTCTTGATGTACTGAAAATTCTGTTATTTTAAGAATGATAACATTCTTTTTAAACATTCTTTCTTTATGAAAAATTTAATTAAAAATGATTATTCTTAGAGATAAGCGTTACCAGTTGGTATTTTTGTAATTTTTACTCTGTTACATTCTCAGGAGATGAGAGATTGTTTTTTTCTAAATTATTATTAACTCTTGCTTTACTGAGATATTGAAAATTTTTTTTATTCACCACAATAATATTATCAATAATAATTTAATGGTAAAATATTTTAGTACTATTGCTGAAAAAATAGAAAACTATATTCGTACTTATCCGAATTATAATTACAAATTTTAAGTATTAATTATTATTTTAAAGATTAATTTATTATTGTATAGAATTAGTGAAGGAAATGAGCGGGATTTTTAATACAATTTTAATCGAATTTCTCGAAAAATGTAATTATTCTTGAAACTTTTATTAAAATTCTTGGAAAAAATTCAATTAAAAAATTTGTTGAAAAAATTCTTTAGGAGAATTCAATTTTAAGAAACATTCAATTATTCAATAAATTATTAATTTTTGTATTTAAATATTCGAATTCTTGTAGAATTTTCTAATAAAAGTTTATTTAAAAATGATGTTCAGTTAAAATTTTAGATAATTTAATTGAATATTAAAAGCATTATAGATTTTCAGAAATAATTTCGTAAAATTGAATTGTAAACAAATGGATTTAAAAATACTTAAAGAACTTTTTTCAAAAATTATTAAAAATTTAAAAGTAATTGATTTACAGAAGAATTTTAGTTAAAAATTCTATGCTTATAATATAAAATAATAATTTTATCACTCGATCATCGTTAATTATTATTAAACATGAAGATATCAATCACTCGGAATGATTGATTTCTTCATGTTTTATTTGATTAAAATTCGTCGAAAAAATTCAATTATTTTCAAATTTGTTGATAAAATTCTTTATGAGAATTAAATTTTCAGAAATAGTCAATTATTTAGTTAATTATTTATGTTTTTATTTAAATTATTGATTTCTCCAAGAATTTTTTAATAAAAATTGATTTAAAAATGAATTTCAATTAAAATTTGAGATAATAAATGAATATAAAAATTATTATAGCTTGAATTTTTGGAAACAATTGAATTTTGAAAAGTTATCAAATTAAAGTCTTTGAAAATCTAAATTTTTCTAATTTTTAATTAACAATTCTGTAGAATTATTTTTTTTTTTGAAAAACTTTTATTAAATGTTTCTTTTTAAATTATTTGAAGTTTTTATTTTCCAATAATATTTAATTGAAGAATTTCCGAAAAATCGAAATTTCTTAAAATCATAAATCATTAATAAAATAGAACATGAAGAAATTAACTTTCTTAATAAATATTAAAATTCTTTCTAAAAATTCAAATATTTTCAAAAATACGAAAAAAATTCTCGCGTCAACATTTTAATTATTTTTATTTATAAATAGCAACATTCTTCGCAGTAATTCAATTATTTTCATAAAGTTTAAAATTCTTTTCAGGGATTTAATTATTTTTATAAATAATAAAATCATTTGGAGAAAGTAAATTATTTTCATAAATAACAATATTCAACACGAGAATTCAATTATTTTTAAAATTAATAAAATTCAATTATTTTTAAAAAATTTTAATAAAATTTATTACAAAATTTAAATTATTTTCAAAAATTGTTCACAATTCAATAATTTGTATATTTATTATTTTAATAAAATTTCCCGAAAGAATTCAATTATTTAAAAAAATAT